CTACCAGCTATGATGCCTCCATGGGCAGAGCCAGTAATGCTTCTGAATACCAGTTTCTGGAAACCACAGGAGGGGAGAGGGCTCTCGTTCTTGGATCCCGCTTGCGGGCTTCCCACAGGCATCTGGGTGGCAACTGTGAAGACAGGAGGCTATTGGTCTGATACAACAGGGTATTCGCATGGTCTTATGAGAGAGCTGTTGTGCTCAGATCTTGCTCATGTGCTTCCCGCTGGGGTGATTGTAAGAACAGGGAGGTGGAGCATGGCCTCCCATTGGCCTGATCCAGCAGATTCTGCTTATGATCTTACAGGCAACTGAGCTGTGAAACTGCAGTCACATGTCCAGTTACAGTGGTACCTCAGTTTAAGAACAGCCCTGTTTATGAACTATTCGGTTTAGGAAAGCCACTTCCGCCCTGCAGAGGAGGTGGGGTTGCGGGCTTCGTGGTCCCAGCCCCTGCGCGATTGGGGGAATCCCTGGCTGTGTCACCCCCTGGTCAGCCAATCGGCTAGCTCTGGGGGCGTGGCCTGCCCTATTTAACGCAGGCGCGGCCGGGAGTCTCCCTCTTTTGCCGCCTACCAGCTGTTCCTGTTTTTTGCTCCGCAAAACTGGAAGTAGTGTCTCGGTTTGCGAACTTTACCTCGGTCTAAGAACGGAAGCCAAATGGTGGAAGGGCACTGGCGATGAGAGGCCTCATTAGGGAAAGTGTGCCTCAGTTCAAGAATGGTTTCGGTTTAATAACAGACTTCTGGAATAGATTAAGTTTGTAAACTGAGGTACCACTGTATTTGGAAGCAGGGCCATTAAACATGGTGGGACTTACTCATGAGTAAAAACCCCTAGGCTGGCTGCACCATTCTTAACAACTAAGCAAACCAGGTGAATCAAAGGCAGTCAATGTGATTACGTAGCATTGTTCTGCAGAGATGATTCAACACAACAGAGCCAGATCCCTTTGGCTGACATTGTCTTCCCAGTGTGTGCTGGGCTGGACACTGGAAGTAATCAGAGGGGCTGAGATGCCGCTGAAATCCACGTCTTACCAAGACAGGTCCTGCCGTCTGTGTGCAGACGAAAGCCTGGCTTGCATTCGCAGTAATAGGACCCCAGAGTGTTCACACATCTGTGCTGGCAGCCCCCATTGTGAACTTGGCACTCGTCAACATCTGGAAAGAAAGCAAAAATGGAAACAGTCAGAGCAGCGGGCACGGTGCAAGCTAAACTCAGCATTTGTGCCAGCCAGAAGCAGGACTCCAGGGGAGCAGCCAGCCAGGCCAATGGGCCAGGCTTAGGAAGATGTTGTGGCTATTCTGGGGTGGGATTCAATCACGTATCGACAATTCAGGTTGCACAGTTAAAGTTTACTTGGTGGTCTTGCACAATGAGCCCAGTTCCTGCAAAACTGCAATCAGGAAAGTGATGGGGAAATGCATTGGAGTCTTGTGACACTTGCTTGACACAACACTGTCTAACCTCCCCATAAACAAACCAGAACAAATGCTTAATAAACAAGGTGTCTGGAAGCACCCCATGCAGCTATGTGCTCCATCATGAAGCTACAGATGCGCCTAATGAACATAGGAAGGTGCTTTATGCCAAGTCAGACCATTGGTCCATACGGCTCCATACTGGCTACACTGACTGGCAGCAGCTCTGACCCAATTTGTACCTCATCAGCTTATGTGTGGATTGTAACCAAGGTCCCCAGCCCTGAAGCAGCTTTTCTTTTCTTTTTTTAAATGATATTTATTAAGGTTTCAATAAAAGATTAAACAGAAAAACATAAACGAAAAATACACAATTCAAAAAAGCACAATACATAGTCCAAAAAAGAAAGAACAAAAAGAACAAAGAAAAAACAAAATACAAGAAAAAAAGAACAATTAAAAACAATATCACCTTTTCGTTTCCATCTTTAAATTTACTTATTTTCTGGACCTCCTCATACCTCCCTCTTTTGTATTCCAGTTCAAATTGTTTGCTGAAGCAGCTTTTCAGCTAGCTTCCACAGGAAGGACAAAAGCCCTGTACAGGCACACACTGTCACACATTTAGACAATGCATGAAGAGAGGCACAGGGCCTATGCTTGATGGTCTCGCCTCAGTGTCCCCCTCCCTGCTAGCACCAACCCCAGCCTTCAGACCTTTCCTAAGGACCAGGTGGTTCTTGGAAAGTTGTCCCAAAGGAAATGGAGCTCTTCAGCTCAGAAAAAAAGTTCTTAAGGTATAAAATAGAAGAAGGAGGGGAGAGAGTTAGAAGACTGCTGGACTGGCTAAGTGAGAGATGGATAGGCTGGAAATTATTCTCTGGCTTGGATTTTAATCTAAGCCAGGAAAGAATTCAGGGCCCCTAAATGCTCACATTTCTTTTATAACCCCTCAAAACTCCTATCCAAACCCTGGACAAGCAGGTTTTGCTAGCGACACTACCCAGGGTTAACCATTCAGTTTCTTCTAACCAGCAGTCTAAACAATGTAATGCAATATGCATGCAAAATTTGGAAACTGCAGATCCAAAAGTTCCCTCCACATGTGCACACGCACACACACACAAACTTTGGGGTTGATTTTGTTTCAGCTCTGTGGTGTGGAAAGGGGAGACCATGAGTCTCGAGCACATTCAAGCCCATGATGCTTATCTTCTGTTCTGGTTTTGGAGCATGGCTTTCCCCCTTTTTTCCTTTTGCAGTGGGACGGGGAGAAGAGGCTTCCTCACAAATGCCCTCCTTCCATTTGGCCTTCTGCCCAGAAAGAAACGCACCAAGGCAAACACAGAAGATGCAGACAAAAGGCGTTTCCTGCCAGCAGAGAAATGGTGATGGACAATGTCTTTATATTTATTTTATTGCCCCTGTAGGGGTCAGTGGAGCCACCACTGAGAGAAGCTATCTCATCTCCCCCAAATGGTTCTTGCGGTTAATGAGAAGGGGCGCTTCTAGGACGCGGTCCAAATCCGGTTGCCCTCAATTGACAAGGACCCGGCCTTGCGGTCCAAAACGCTCTCAACTGGGCACAGAGAAACTTCAAAAGCACAGCCAAGAAAGGTTGGCACTCACTCTTTTCCCAGCGTCCTGCTGGGAAATGATCAGATCCTCCTGCTTCAACTTCTGCACTGAAAAGGTTCAGAATCATCTGTCATGTTTCAAGGGAAACCGGGGGAATGCATTGAGACATTTCACAAGCTTTCGTTTGGTTGAGTGTTCAAAGGCAGAAAGAGAAGGAACGCAAAGATAAATTGTGTTGCAAACAGATTGTTGGCGGCAGGGCAGGAATCAAGAGTCAGAATCAAGGTGTGCTTGTCCTCAGTTCAACTTTGCATTCTTCTTTTCAACAGGGCTATGGAGGCCATTTGTTTTCAAAATGTTCCCCACTTTTCTTTATTAAAAACAAAATAAATTCAACGCAGCTTATGGACAATGATGAAGACAGAGCAATCCTAGCATGGTCTTACAAAATGGCAAACTACATCTCTTCATCCTTGTGCACCTATGTATCAGGTGTGAGGAACCTCCAATGTGATCTTGCATAGGTCACTGTCCAAACCTCCAAACTCTCCCCAGGCCTAACCTTCTCTCCCCAGACCCTGTTTTGCATCCTTCTTGGGTGTTTTTGCCTGGCTGGAATGTGCCCTTGAACCCCAATAGTGTGCCTTGCTTGTCTGGATGGAGGCGGGCGAGCAAGGAGGATGCAAGGGTGTTTACATGAACTAGCCTAATGTAGAGACACCACCTTGCCAACAAAGATCCGTATAGTTAAAGCTATGGTTTTTCCAGTAGTGCTGTATGGAAGTGAGAGCTGGACCACAAAGAAGGCTGATCGCCGAAAAATTGATGCTTTTGAATTATGGTGCTGGAGGAGACTCTTGAGAGTCCCATGAACTGCAAGAAGATCAAACCTATCCATTCTGAAGGAAATCAGCCCTGAGTGCTCACTGGAAGGACAGATCCTGAAGCTGAGGCTCCAATACTTTGGCCACCTCATGAGAAGAGAAGACTCCCTGGAAAAGCCCCTGATGTTGGGAAAGATGGAGGGCACAAGGAGAAGGGGACGACAGAGGACGAGATGGTTGGACAGTGTTCTTGAAGCTACCAGCATGAGTTTGACCAAACTGCAGGAGGCAGTGGAAGACAGGAGGGCCTGGCGTGCTCTGGTCCATGGGGTCACGAAGAGTTGGACACTACTAAATGACTAAACAACAACAGCCTAATGTAGAAAGATAAAATTTGCACTCAATGCTTTGTCCACTTTTTCCCAATGCTAGTATATGGCCCCGAGATGGTTATATGTGAGGGAAGGCGGCCCTCAGGCTGAAAAAGGTTTCCCCACCGCTAGCTTGGAATACCTCGACATCTCCAGGTAGCAATGGGAGAGGCCTCCATCCAAAACCCTGGAGAGTTGCTGCCAGCCATTGTGGACGATACTGAGCTAGCTGAACCAGCCAGCTGGCTCAATACAAGGTAGCTTCCAATGCTTCTACTCTTGGCTACTTTCAAGAGCAGACTACCCTCCCTCTCTATCTTCTTGTCAGATCAGAGGACACAGAGAAGAAGAAGAGAATAGACCTCCTACCTCTCTCCACCAGTTTATTCTCCTGTAATGGGCAGCCTTCAGGTCTCTCCTTGGCCTCTTCCCTCCCTTCAGGTTGCTCAGGCTCCTAAACCACCAAAAGGCAGTAAAAGGCTTGCAGCCTCTTATCAGCCCCAACCCTACCCACCTGCAGCCCATACTGGCTTAATGCTGTTGGGGTCAATTGTCAGCAAGCAGGTGGTCTAGCAGCTACAAATGTAGGAAGCTGTCTTTACAGAGTCAGATCGTAAGTCCATCTGGCTCAGGGGTCTCTTTGTCAACACTGAGTCCCCAGCCAGTGTAGCCAGGGGTCAGGGGATGATGGCACTAGTTGTCCAAATGGCATCAGGGGACCCAAGTTTGAAGAACACTGGTCTACAATGAGTAGCCGTGTTTCTCCAAGGTCTCATGAAGACATTTCACTCAGCTGAAAGCGGGGTTGTCAGGGATCGAACCAGGAACTTCCTGCATGCAAAGCTGATGCTTTACCACTAAGCTGCAGCCCTTCCCACTATATCTCATTGACCAGTTGACCACAGGGAACATCACCCCTTTTTCAGATCCTGAAGGAGAGGCTCCTGGCGGAGAAAAGATGCTTTTGGGACCCCCAGGGTGAGTGCAGAGCAGGCTGCTGGTCTCACCCTCCCACCTCTTAATTTTCATAACCGAATCTTCATTAGCATAATTGGCCAGTCTTGCATACGTTGGGATTTTTCCTCGGCAGCGTATTCCGACAACGGTGAGTGCGAGAGCGATGTTTAAAATGCGCAGCGCATGGATAGCACACAGGGATAATTAGTGAGGGCAGATGAGGCAGACGTAAAACGGTTACAATAGAATAGAATGCCATTACCCTTGTGGCTGAAAGGCGTTTGGCGTGAACGAGTTTCTAAGATTAGCCCATCGAAAGGGCTCGGATGATTACTGGGCCAACAAGAGGGGTAGTTTTTTTTATCGGTATTGATCCGCCCCTCCAACCAAACAGATAATGGCTACTGGTTTGGATTAAGGTAGGAATGGGCACCCCCTTACGTACTGAAGGGGAGCGCCACCCATCAGCCATGACCCTGCTAGGAGGGCAGGCAAAGGAGCCCCACACACAAGTCCCTCCACACGAGAGAGGTTTGTAATCGGCACATGACTGGTGAGGGGCATTGGTGATGGGTGTGGCAGCAGGAGGTGGCTGATGGGTACCACTGTCCCTCAATATGTGCAGACCTCTATGCCAAGCAGGGTTGCATGGTCAGTGGGTGTGGCTAGCCTAGCCCACACTGCTTCCGTGCTCTTTTAATGCCTGGACTCCCCTCCTGTCGCGTGATAAGCACATGCTCCTGTTCATGTATACGTCTGACCACACTTTGAAATTCGTACTTCTCTGAATCTTGCAGGCACGTAATCAAATGTACAAAAATGCATATACTGGGGTGAAGTGTGTAAAAAAAAGAAATGTGTATATTTGTGAAAATAGCATTCCAAAATGCATTGTGTTGGGGGGAATCACTTTGCAAACATGCACAAATTCAGCAAAATGCCATACCAAAAATGTATATATTAGGAGAAATTTGCACTAAAATGCTGCTGGGTTTTCACAGGGACATTTGTTTTAACAAGGAGTTTTCAAAATGATGGGGAAATGTAGACAGATGAGTTGCAGGCTGGAAAAATGAGAGACTGAAAAAATGAGACCGAAACCACAATTGACAGACTGGCCCATCCCTGGCGAGGACGGGCGTCCTCAGCTCACCTGCTCCGATTACAAACTTGAAGCAACAGAAACCTTTGCTTGAAGTTATGAATGAAGGAAATGGGAAGAAGCTGGGGCAGGAATGACGTGCCAATTGATAATTAAAGTGATTCCCCCGCCCCTCAAAGGCATGGGCACAAAAACACCCTTAAACCAGATTAATCATGTTGATCAACTTCTTTGACTAGGCTCTGTGCAAATTCTTTGGCTCCAGCAGAACCCAAGAAAACGTGGCAAAAGTGCCAGGCAGAGGCAGACATCAGCACAGACTGCCATGGTCCAGGGGCACCACTGCAGCCAAGGGGTGCGCAGACCTCTCTGGCACTGGAGCTGTGAGCTGCTCCTCAAATGAGAACCAATATAGCTCGCAGGACTTACGCAGAGCTGCAAAACCTAAACCTTGCTGGGAAATTTCAGTTTGTGCAATTAAAGTGGATTCAAGGACAATGTTGCCCGAGAGCCACAAATCTATGAAAAGAGAAGAAACAGGCTTGAAGAATAATGGGGAGATGCATTCTGTTTATTATTTATTTGTTGCACCCTGGAGCTCATGGTGGTTTACATGCTTCTCTTCCTCCTTATTTAATCCCCACAGCAACCCCGTGAGGTAGGTCAGGCTCCGTGTGAGTGACTGGGCACCAAGGTGATCTTCGTGGGCAAGAAGAGGTGACGACTTCTTCAGAGGACATGTAAGGGAAGCATGATGTCGCATATGTGATGTCACAGGGAGCCAGGGGGTGAAGCCAAACACCCTCTGAAAATTGAGGGAGCCCAGCCCCTTTAAAAAATACATGAGGGGAACTGCCTTGGCCCATAGGAATCGGTGCCTATGAGGCTAAGGAGGGATTTGAAGCCTGGTCTCTCCCAGGTCCTAGTCCGACACACGTCAAATGCAATTTTCAAATGCATTGAAAACTGGGATGAAGCAATGCAAGCACATCCAAACGGATACAGAATGAATGCTCATCGTTATATAATGTTCCTGCTCCTATACAGTGGTATCTCTGGTTGCGAACGGGATCCGTTCCGGAGGCCTGTTCGCAACCTGAAAAGCCCACAACCTGAAGCGCCGTATCTGTGCAGGTGCGTGTCGCAATTTGGTGCTTGTGCGCATGCACGAAGGGCGAAACCCGGAAGTAACCCTTTCCAGTACTTCTGGGTCACCATGGGACGCAACCTGAAAAAACGTAACGTGAAGCAAAGGTAACATGAGGTATGACTGTATTGCTGAATTCCCTCCCAAGGGAGGCCAGACTGGCTCCCTCCTCATTCTCTTTCTGCCTGCCTTCCTTCTTACCTTCCTGTTCAGACAGGCCTTTGGAAACTAAGGCGCAGGCTATGCTGATCATTGAACGGCTGTTGGGACAAACACCATTTTAAATACTGGTTTTAGTTGCATTGTGCTGTGTTTTAATTGATGCTTTTAACTTGTTGGTTTTAGCCTTCTTTATTTTATAACTGATTTTATTTTTTAATGTCACAAGCTGGCTTGTATTCCAGCTTGGGAGAAAGGTGAGACGGAAGTACGTTACTTAAATAAACAGTAAGTAAATAAATTACAACAAATGCTCAATAGAGAGCAGAAATGATCTAAATGCTGCATAATCCTTGGGCAAGCAAATCAGGAGGAATGCTCAGTAAATAGGTCAACTGGAGGAGCCCTAAGTCACCTTTAAAACATAGAAGTGCACGCACATGCATGTGTGCACTATAAAGGCCGAAACCTTTTAGCTTGTTCTTGCAGGAAATGTGCTCCAAGCTATTAACAGGGTGGCGGAGACGGGGGAACTTTACTTTTACATTGCAAATCCTCTGGTTCTTTTCTTTCCATGTGAACAGGGGCCATTTATGCCTCAGAAGATGATTTGTTGTTGCCTTTTATTCCGCTCTACCACTCTGCAGAGGAAGCTTGCTGGTTGGCACACTTGGCACAGTGCCCCCCTCTGCAATAGCTGCCAGTGCTCCTTTAGCACTTTTCAGAACAGAAAACAAAAATGGGATGTTCCAGAGCTGCAGCCATGAACAATTTTGCCTGGCTTTCTCAGTTACAGAGTTACAGCTGCTCAGAAGCTGCCACTACACAGTCAGGCACGAAAGCACACTCCAATGGGGCTGCGTGATGACATCCTTACATTTTTATTATATAGAGAGAAATATTGCAGCTCAATGAAGATATGGGACGGATGAGACTATACATGCAGAAGTGACACAGATATAGTGTAGGCAACACTGCACTAGATGGACCAATAGTCTGACAGTACAAGGCAGATTCAAATGCTTCTATATCTTAAGGGCTGTAGGTCATTGATAGAGCATCTGTTTTACACACAGAAAGTTTGAGGTTCAATCCCCAAATTCTGCAGTTTTAAAAAAGGAACATGGAGCAGGTGGCAGGAAATATCTCTATCTGAGACTCCGGAGAGCCTCTGCCTGTCAGCACAGATAATAGTTGGCTTTCTGAACCAATGGGCTGACTGAATAAGCTTGTTCACACATTACACCGAACACAGGCACAAGCTGTCTCCACACACGCCTAAGTCTTTGTGTGGAAGAGCACATGTGGTTGAGCTGTACTACTAAACTATAGCATAGACAGTACCCTCCTTAGATGTTGCGTGTGAATGCCCACATGAGTGTACAGCTTAACTAATTAATTTACAAAGCCCTGAACAACTTAGGTCCTAGGTACCTTAGGGATCACCTGAACCCTCATATTTCAACTCAGTCACGGAGATCATCTGCCAGCACGTTGCTGGTCATTGCCAGAGTTGGTGAGGCTTATTTGACAACAAAAGGGAACCCAGCCTTTAGTGTTATTGGCCTGGTCCTGTGAAACACTCTGCCAATAGAGATTCAGCAGGAGCCTTCTGCATCAGCTTTCCAACACCTGGTGAAAACTTTTTCTGTGCTGTCAGGCTTACACAGGCAATTAAGAATAGTTTCCTGATTTCTGATTTTAACTTTTTATATCTGGTTTATATTGTATGGTTTTAGGTAGCATTGCTGTGAACCACTTCAATACTTTCTTTGTGAATTAACGATCTATAAATAGTTTTATTAACTAACGACTGTGTATACACACTGTATACTACCTGAACGTAACAGCTCAACCCTCCCAGGATAATGTGACTTTATACCATGGAAAACACCCCAGCTTGGTAGGATTGGAAAGGGACCCCAAGGGTCATCAAGTCCAACTCCCTGAAAATGCAAGAATCACGGCTAACATATCCCTGACAGATAGCCATCCAATCTGTTTTAAAATCTCCCATGAAGGAGAGTCCACCACCTTCTGTGGGAGCCCATTCCACTTTCAAACAGCTCTTCCCATCCAAAAGTCACCTCTCATCATATATATATATATGTGCTAATAGCAAACTATCAATCAAGTTGATTAGTGAAATGCAGTTAAGGATTAAAGGGCCCATCCCCTCCAGACAAGGAAGGTCAATCATACCTGCTGTCATTTAAAAAATATATATAAGAATCAGCCAGGATCCTATGATACCTGTCCCGAGGCAGGGGAGAGAAAAAAAGATTCATGCATTTAAAAAGTTATGCTGTTGTACAGGCAGCCAACAGCGCCCCTGGAGTTGTGAACAAAACAAGCTGTACCTTACCTGGCCTCCGCTCAGAGTGGCCCACGCTGCCGTATCCTGCCTGCCCCAAATAGCACGGGTAACAGTTTCTCCAGAGGTAGCGGTAGTGCAGGGCGGTAGCTTGGGGGATGCTGTGCAAAACAGCTGCACAGCAGAATAGCAG